TTCAGAATGACTAGGATTTTTGTTTAGTCATTTTATTACTAAGCATAAAGCCACGCAATGAGTTATTTGTGCTAAGTCCACAGCGGGTATCGAAACCCGATTTTTAGCGTTACAATCCACTGAGAGTGAGACGAATTACGAGGAAATAATACTTCTGACGTCCTTATTTAGTTTCATTTAAAAGTTAATTATTAATTTACCAAGATAAATATTGATACTTCTTTCTGTGCATGGTCTGTTTTCACTGGGTTTTGATTTATTATCAACATTTGTTTCACGTTAATGGTAATGGTATTACAAATTTTCGGGAAATTCAAATCCTCTTAAGTCCATTAAAACTCTTATTTTCAGCTCAGGGGAAAAAAATATAGAAAATTTTGATCGATCCAAGTTAATTGTTAAAATTACAATAACATGACTATTTTTGAAGTTAATTCGAACAGATTCTTTGAAAAACTTATTTTTTTCTGAACAAGTGCGAAAGTTTCCACGTTTAATATAATACGTTTTATTTAAGCTCTGACTTATTTAGGTTTAATTAACTCCATCTCCAAAATTTTGCTGTGTTTTTTTTAATTAAAAGAACCACTGCCAAGTTTTGAAAGCGTCCAACATTAAAAAAAATGCATATCTGTAATAATGAATTCGCCTAGTCTTTGGTACTTTCTACGTTCAACTTGATGAAATTGCTCTGCAGTAACACGTTATTATAATGATTGGTATCATTAATTCGTCACGAGGTACACGCCTAGGTTATGAATTAAGCAATCCGCCTTTACTAGATCGATGCGATTGACAAACCGTTTGCAAGCGAGAGAGAATGTTAGCGTGCTTAGATGCATTACTTCCCACATCCAAATAACTAGAGACGAGGACGAGTTACGGTCTCGATTATCACGCGATTCATCAGCAATAAGCTCAAAATTTCGTAGAGGACCTGCTCATATATATCTCTAGAGTCTTCTCAAATAGCTGAAGTCGTCCATTTTTAGCGCTAAGGCTCAGAAAGTCACTAATATCGTAAGCCATTCAAAATAATAGATTGTAAACGTCGGCTAGCAAAAGTGTCCTTTTCAATCATTCGTAGGGTATTTTAAAGCATCATTAAGGCTAAAACAGCAGTAAAACGGTTTTTTTGTGATCACCGTGAAAGGGTTATCAATAATTGTACTGATTTTAATCTCATGATAGTGATCCAAGAACTAGTGAACCTCTAATATGTTATAGTGATGAAATCTAGATCCACTTATAAAGTCGATATAGATTTAAAAAATCTAATGTGACGAAAGAGCACTGAAGAGCGCTAATTATCGTTAGAGTATGATAGAATACAAATGCTGGACTCTCTTAAAACACAGGCTGTTTCGTGACGTACAGTACAGCACAATGATCACATATAAACAGAGTAAATAAAACAAATATTTGCTTATATAAAAAAATAATAACATCTAGAAAAAAAGAAACGCAAATATTCTTTCCCACTTCTCATGTTGTTGATCATATTATTAGTTCATTATCTACGATACAAATTATATTAAGTGTGAGAGTGGTCGACATGAACTAACACTTTTGGTCACCTGGTGATGATTTAGAAAGCTAATGGAGATCTTAACTGTACAAAGCATCACGTCTTAAAATTGTTTTATATATATATATACACACATATTATATTATTATTTTACCCAATTAATTTGTAATTTACAAATTTAGTCCACAGGGGATCGAACTAGCCCCTTGGTAATGGTAGGCCAGTACTAGATGATTTAGGCTTATAGCATATTTTTAACCTAGTCAGATCAGCATTGGCTTATTGTCAATGACCCTAGTTCGATCTCCTGCAGGTTTATATTAGATATTATGAATTTTTTTTTAATATACTATTCCATTGTACTAATGAAAATACTTCATCTTATTAGTTCAAACTTAGTTCAGAACTATATTTTAGCTCATATTGAATACCTAAGGCAGCCAATTAATCTTAAGGTAATTTTTAGACTAATTGGTTTAGCATTACTTATCGTTAGGATGAGACAAGCAACTTAAATATATATATATATATATATTTATCAAAAATGTGTGCTGCTGGATATTAACTATCACATTAGATTTATATCGACACATTTCACGAATACATGTAATTTATTTAACACAACATAACATAATATTTTTTAGGACAACATGGGACCTATTGGTCCATCTCGGCTGTTCCATCCTCAAAACTAAATTAAAATGACTAAAAAATAAAGCAAAAAATTTTAAGCCCAGTCCTTTTCATTCATATACTTAAGCTTTTTCTTAAACTCACTTAAATTGTTATAGTCTTCTTCTCTATAATTTGACTATTGTACGCTACAATCTGACTTCAAACTGTTTATACCAATCACTCAAAGCATCCTTAACGGATATTATCGTATTCCATATAGATAGTCCTGAAAAATCGAGCACTTTTTTATACTAGTGGTACATTTTGTAGGGTAATAGGTATGGTCATACTGATTAATATTTCAGATAGTGCCATTTCTAGTTAATGTTTGTGTGCTGTGAACAACACATGTTATAAACATCTCGTATATACCAATGTCCTTTGTAGGGTAATAGGTATGGTCATACTGATTAATATTTCAGATAGTGCCATTTCTAGTTAATGTTTGTGTGCTGTGTACAGCACGTTATAAAAATATCGTACATACCAATGCCCTTGCTATACGATTCCATTTTATACCTAAAATAACAGGATAAACATGTTCCAAAAAGTGACTTGCATATTTGTATAATGTATGTTTGATACAAGCTCTGATGTAGGAAATACAAAATAAATAGTCAAAATAGCATTTTATTGCCAAAATACATACAGTTTACAAGGAATGCTTGTATTTACTCTTCATATCAATATCAAAAAAGTAATCACCTATTAAAGATAACGACACATTATGTCCTTCCTTTCTCATACTCTGTAGTTTTATCAGACTCTTGGAAGTTTTTTTATTATTAGAGAGGAGGTATATTAATCGTAACCAATAAGGTGACTACATATTTGAAATCCTGAAGGTGAGGAGCATAGAATGTCATGCATTCCTCCATTTTCAACAATCTCCTGTTTATGCTTTACAAGCTAACCATAGCTAAAATGAAAATTAATAACAATTAAGACTAATGCAGGGGTAGTGGTGGCAGACATTTTAGTTTAGAAATGGTTGAGGCTAAAGTGTGACTTGGTAAGAGACAGTACTTTCCCTGGGCCCATAGGAGCACATTCTGTCATCTGGCCCATGTGTCTTATTTGACAGAAAGTCACAGAAGAATATCTACAGTATCCTGCAGAATCAAGAAGAAAGAACTGCAGTGCAGCTTATAGAACAATAACAATGTCGAGGTCGGTGAGCTACCAGCAATTCTAAAATTAGCCCAGTTTGATGAAAGAAGTGGAGTTCCAGAAACTGTTCTCAAACATTGTGCCCTATGACAGAGACCGATATAATAAAACAAAGTTAAAGCGAGTGATGAAGAAAAAGACACTAGATAGTGACTCAGGGAAAGAGTCCACAGAAATCCACAAACGCATACGTTCATCCGCTGCAGTGTTCCATAGAATAATAACACAGAAGCAACTTGTTTTTCTGTTATCAGGTTGTATCTATAGAAGATCTGACTCAAGCAGTTTGTTTGTTTCTAGTTAAGCACAAAGCTACACAATGGGCTATCTGTGCTCTGCACACCACGGGTATCGAAACCCAGTTTGTAGCGTTGTAAGTCCGCAGACATACCGCTGTGCCACTGGGGGGGCGACTCAAGCAGACATCTTTGGTTTGGATTCACATGTTCAGTCTGTGACTTTTTCAGTTGGAAAATACTAAATTCTGGGAATGGTTAGTGCGGAAGACTTTATATGAATTGAAGCCAATACTCCTAAAGATACTTCACTGTATTCTATTACCATGCTAGGGATAAGGCCAAGAAACAGTCACTGCAGCAGGCAGTGAAACAATGCAATGTTCTACAATCTTTGATAGGGACAAGGTCAAGGAATATTTACCACAGAACGCAGTGAAACAATGTTCTACAATCTTTGATAGGGACGACATCAAGAAACAGTCACCACAGCAGGCAGTAATGCAATGTTCTACAATCTTTGATAGGGACGACATCAAGAAACAGTCACCACAGCAGGCAGTGAAACAATGTTCCACAATCTTTAATAGGGACAAGGTCAAGGAATATTTACCACAGAAGGCAGTGAAACAATGTTCTACAATTTTTGATAGGGACAATGCCAAGAAACAGTCACCACAGAAGGCAGTGAAGCAATTTTCTACAATCTCTGATAGGGACAAGGTAAAGAAACAGTCACCACAGCAGAACAATGAAGCAATGATAGTGATGGTCGAATACATACAGTTAGGATGCTGTATCTTTCTGCGTTACGAAATGATCAAATATACAGTTAGTATTTTGTACCTTACTGCGTTGTGAGACGGTCAAATGTACATCATAAGATTGACGTTGTTCGTAAATAATTTATTTTATTAAGAAAAGTGACGAATCGGTGTTATTCTTGTTTCTTTGGAAAAGTTGTGCCTCAGAGATAAAGTAGAGCGGGATTTTCGCTCGATTTAAAAATTATGCCTTTTCTGTTACCTTCTGTTCGTGTAAAATATTTGAAGAAGTCTGATAATAACCTTTGTAGCATTCAAATTAACTGAATAATGGCGTTTTTCATAATAAAATAGTATAATAAAGAACAGCTAAATCTCTGAAAGCACTTACTCTCTGACCATTTTTACAGAGCGTGTATTCTGGAATTCTGGAATATAGTGCCCTCCAGTGGCACAGAGGTATGTCTGCCGACTTACAATGCTTGAAACTGGGTGTCGATACCCGTGTGGGCAGAGCATAGATAACCCATTATGTAGCTTTGTGCTTAATTGCAAACAAAGAGAAGGGAATATAGTTGTTTTTTTTAAACTCTATAGCAAGTAATATTTATTAGTGTAAAATCTTACCTGTTTTCCGCATCCATACTTCCATTGTTAGATAAAATAAGTTCGGATCTCGATGCTTCATTCGAAACTTATTCAGTAATGATCGAACTACTTCTTTGCTCGTAGTATCGGGACTGATACAGAGAGTTTTATATTCCATGTCAGCACACAAAACACGAGTGTAGATTTTCAGCACCACCTATAATGTAAAAGATACAAAGTGTGTTCGTCAGTAAGCAAATATTTTACCAAATTTGTTGTTATATATTATTATAACAGTGTTGAATTATTTAGATAAATTCAAATATAAATCCATAGTTAGTAAATCTGAATACCAGGTGTCATGATCATAAGCAAATTCTGAATCAGTGCACTTAAAATTCAGTTCTATAGAATTGTTAATATTTAAGTTGAATAGGTATAAAGTGCGGGCGTATGTATACGCTTTTATTATTTCAAAATATGATTTGAATCTTCTATTTAACCACAAACTGATAAATACACAACATGCACAGTGCTATCAGTTCTCAGTGTGCATTGATTCATTGGGTGGAGGCCTCAGTGAGGAATGGGGAAGTTTTGAGTGGGGGATCTTATATTGATAAAGTCTGTGAGCCAGTAGCTTAATGAACTATTAGTGAGCCATATACGTAAGATGATACCTCCAATTAATTTAGTTTCATTACAAGGCGAAATTTAGAGCAAGACGAATACTGTTTTGTCGTCATGACTTTAACTTTCAGAAAAATAGACAAAAATTAATCTAGAAAATTTAAACGTTCTTCATAATGTCTATCTCTTCAGAACCAGGGATGTTTTTCTAAGGATTCTTCAATCAGAACCTTACAGGTTCAAGCACATCCGATTGTACAGCTGTATATTATGCTATTAGAGAAAAAAAATCACCTTTAACAACTATGGTAATAATTTATTAACTTGGCGATGTTTCGAACAAACACTATTTTTCAAGGCAGAAACAAGCCCTGAAAAAAAAGAGAGCGTTTACTCGAAACGTTGCCAAGTTAATTAATTATTACCATAGTTGTTAAAGGTGATTTTTTTCTCTAAAAGTTTAATTTATTTTATTTTATCACCTTCAGGTTTTTCTACTTATTTATTCACTGTAATGTAGAATGTTTATGGTTGACTTGTGAATCGGGATGTAACTATGAACTATGTTATTTATTATAACGAAAGGACAGAATATACAGAAGTTACTGTTCTATGTATTTATATGGTTAATTCTACCTCCTAGGGCTTGGAATACGTTTGTCTAAAAAGAATCCGGGTTTCAATACCTGTAGTGGGCAGAACACAGATAGCCCATTGTGTAGCTTTGTGCTTAATTACAAAACAACAACCAAATGTCTAAAACGAAGTGGGGGTGGACTTCATCTACCCTGCCCTCACAGCTTGTATGCTAAGATCTAGGGTTTAAACCCCTGCGGTGGACATAGCACAGACAAATAACAAGGGCAAGTAAGTTTTATCCTCAATATATTACTCATGATATTTTACTCTGTAAAATCACAGGTTATACATTTTTTTCCAAATACTCACCTACTGCTATTACCAGTTAAAGTGTGAAAATTACTTTTTATTTACTACAACATTGGGTTGATAAGACTGTATATACAAAACTGACGAAATCCTGTTTTCCAAAACCACCTTTCAAGGACTTTCTAAATAATCTGTTTCGTTATGAGTGGCTTATGTAAAAGGTTATACTCACTTTGTAGTGTGGCACATCTGGTTGCACCTTTCTTAGAATCTTACATTTTTTAAATATTCGGACAAAAAATAAAACGAATTTAAAAATCAAACAGATATATCACCGCGATTACGTTGTGTCAAAGAATGAATAGCGTATGGACAAGGTAAAACAAACACTAGAGTTTGTCCGCAATAGTACAAAACCAAATGATAATTATGGACTCTACACGAAAATAAAATTTTCACTCCAGGTATTTTGAATTCATCTAACCCATATAAAAAACTAGTGTGTTTCATGTCACGTGACGTTTGATTTCTAGAAATAGATAGGGTAATTATAGCCAAAATGCACTTATCCAGATAGAATAGTTCGATTCTGTCTGCTCATTACGATTTTAGTGCAAAGGGATGGGAGCCGTGAAACCTTATAAGTATAGTGAGTGTTGGTATAATAAGCCTAAAGTAAAGACGTAGTGTAGGATCACCTAGCCTTGAGCTAAGTTCATAACAGTTATCATGAAAGTAAAAATATCGATTCAATTTTAAACTTAAATCCTTTGTGAATTAAGCTATTTTCTATTATATCACCAACGTTTTTAATAATAATAAAAACTCTTTAATCAACGGAGACTCTAAATTAAAAAATCAATAAATATGTTTCCAGTTTTGTTTGTCTATACATTTCATTTTATACTTTCAGGGCGGAGCAAGTACTACCTCCCCCAACCCATAGTTTACCCTAACCTCACATTTCATAGCTAACTAAAATAAATAAATTTTGCGAAATCAAGCTTGACAAACAAAGAGGCAGAAAAGAAAAATGCAGTCGAGGCAGTCAAACGTCGATAAATTCCTATGTGAGCCAATCAAAATTAAGATCATTTATGAAATGAATTCGTGGGGTATTCATAGAATGAATATTGGTAAAAATCAGTTAGAGTTACAACTTCTATTACTTAGAAAAACCAGTGCGTTTCCAACAATGACTTTTATTCCATGTCTCATAGCAACATAGGTATAACATAATATTGTTGTTAGTCTATGTATTCCAAGATTTGACGGTGGGTGCTGTTGACTAGTTTCCATTTCCTTAGTCTATCAGGTCAAATTAAAGACGACTTGCGAAAATGGCTTTCAAGTAGCTTTGTGCAAACATCCGTAAACAAACATTCAATCAATTTAACATCTTTATAAATTTAACTGATTTAACAACACTAACGCCCCCAGTGGCACGTCTGTGAACTTCTAATGCTAGAAACCGGTTTTCGATACCCGTGGTGGGCAAAGCACAGATAGCCCTTTGTGTAGCTTTATGCCTAATGTGCTTAATAACAAACAACAACAATACTAAATACTTATATACATATATAAACCAGCGTATAGCTCGTCAAAAATTACTCTTGTCTGACCAAATAATAGAATTTGAAAGGCATCCTTGTAACGCACCCATTACCGAAAGTGCGGATAGCGATTTTACTTTTCTTTCTCTCTCTTTATTATTGCTATTTATTTTATTTTTTTTTTGCGGTAATTGTATTCGCAGACCCATAGTCCAGGTTGCTGGGCCGCGTTCAGTCCTATTAAACTGAAAACAAAGAAAGACCCCACGAATAAGTTATTGCAATGGAACATTTCTCATCGAAGTGTCTGTAGTGTAAAAGTCGTCTTCACATTTTTCTACCAAAATGGCGGAATGATTGGTATCAGGGAAAAGGTGGACTGATTAAGTAAATTAAAAAGGATAAAATAATTCTATGCATGTTATATGCAGTCGTTGTTGTGGGTATAAAATATATTTATGCAATACAAGTAAAAAATATATAACTAATTTCGCAAATTCCAAAATCCGTAGTACACTTTGTTACCAGCGTCTTGATCACATCTTTAGAGTCAAGACACGGGGATTTCCTTTATTAACTAAATAATCATTTTTATCTGTTGTTCTGTTTTGACAACTGCTGACCAGAGGGAAGGACACCAGTTGACAGCATCGGCCAAATACACGGCTACAGCGGGATTGAATGTTACAGTTAAACTTCCTTCCTTCCCTGGTAACTTAAAGCGTGGAGCGGTTACAGAAGCATATCGCAGTTCGAGTTTTTGAACCTTCTCATACGCAGCCCAGAGAACTACCTACTAGGCTACGCTCATCCCATCAATATAATAATAAGGCAGGGTTTTGAACATTTCAATTAAGAGAAGATTATCATTCCATATGGAGATTTTACTATGCTCGCAAAAAACATCATGTTTACAGAGGTGTTCCAACTGAATAATAAAACCTATCTGAATAATGCAACGAGTGGATGAAAGGTTTTCCTTCAGCAAGTTGCAAACAATAGTTATGCTAAACAACTCAATTCTCAGATTTGAAACAGTATAAGGGAAAAAAGACGCAAATTTAGAATGAATAAACAAACTTCTTATAAACATAGCAACACACAGTTTTAGAGGAACATTAAAATCGTTTACCAGATATAAGTTGGCCTAAGGTTGAATACATCTTTTGTTAAAATAATTCTGTTTGTTGTTATTGTTTTTACACCCCTGTTGCCCAATAGAAAAAGAGATTAATGTGTTTAAAGTACATTTTTAGATACATTTTTTAATAGAAAATGAAAGCAAATTGTATTTATATATTCTTATCAATCTAGAGACGCCTAACATCTGTACACACACGCGCGCGTCTCATGCCTAACAGCCTAACTTGTAGCAAAGCATAAAGGTGAACAATTAAAGGTCGACACCGCTCGACCTTAGCCATGTCCGTAGGTATAGTGCTAGATTATTATATACGTAGAGCTTCCATCAAAAAGTTAAAACCCCTGAACTTAAACAGAACGTACATCCACATCCACGTGCATCACTAATTACACATGCCTACCACCCATCCACGTGTATTTTATACATTTAAAACGCACATACATTTCTACCAGTTTTTGCTCCCAGTAGCTCAGCGGTAAGTTTGCAGGCTTACGGCACTAAAATTCAGGATTCGATACCCATGGTGTGCAGAGCACAGATAGCTTTGCGCTGAACAACAACAAAAACACCAGTTTTTAATTAAAAACTCGTTGTAGTAAAGCTACTCTAACAGTTTTGCTGTTTACCTCAGGATTTAAAACTGAATCACCTTGTATAAGTAAGTCTCTGCAGATGGATGTCCTGAATAAACAAACACACCGGGACCAGTTTTAAAGTGATACAACTTAACAAAAGTAAATGGGATTGTCTTCTTTATATTAACTATATTTGTTTCAATACGTATTTTGGCTCTATAAACAGAAGTAGTTTAACAACAAATCCATGGGAGACCAAGTTAATGTTTCCAAGGTATACTAATATTCCTTAAAATTGAAACAGTTTTCAATTTTTCAGCAACCTTATTTTTTCATGTCCGTTTTTCTGATGTATAAGACACGTCTAACATGGTAAAACTCGGATATACTCGTGTCGTGTTAGGACATTTTTAGTACATGAATCTCT